TTTCTCTGAGTTTTGTAATTCCCAGATTGGTATCTGGAGTCCAAAGGCTTTAAAGAGTCTTGGGTGGGACAAAGCTTTTAACCCAGTGTACAGGTTTTGTGGGATATACTGCAGGTATACTGGAGGTGTGCACATCCCTTGTAATAAAAGGCATGACAGCAAGTTAGGACTCCCTTGCAGAGACAGGTGTGCTCTATGCTGGAGACAGTACTCCATGCTGGAGTCAGGAGGTCTAGAGGACAGAGTCAAGATGACTGAGCAAGTCTAGAGGACCCAAAGAACCTAGAGAACCGAGAGAGGGGCCAGTGCTGACCAAGCTGACACTTTGAGTTACAGTGGCTGCAGGTAGCAATGTGTGAAGACTGTTGTGGACTGAGAGTCTGCATTCTAGGCCAAGAGCTGTGTAGAATGAGATGAGCTGCCATGTGATGTTGAAACCCCTGCGTGGAAATCTCTGATGTAAATAATTTGGGTTTATTTTTAAATAAGCATGCACCATCAAGGCTTGAAAATGCGTTGTTTGGTGTCAATCTACTTTCAAGCTACAAACCACTCAGTTCAATTCTCCAATATCACAATACTTTTATCCAGGTGTCTGTTTCTACAGTCATATCAAATATCTTCTTCATCCTCTTCTTCCTCTAACTGTGAGACCTGAGTGATGATGTTGAGCCATGACACACTGGGCTCATGATACATTGGCTGGTACTGAATCAGTGAGCCATGCTCTAAAATCTATGGAACCCCATAAGAGTACAATTTTGGAAAAACAAGGTGAGTAGACTTATAGAATTGTAATATAACTGTTTGAAGTGGATAAAAGTGAAAATGAACAAGAGAGACAGAGAAACTGACCCACTTGATGTGAAATAGTATCTATTGAGTCTCTCAACCAGACCTGGTATTAAGAGTGATAAATGTGAGCATTAGCTGTAAAGCATATCTGAGGTTTCTGCCAGACGCAGCAACACTTACAACATCATCTAGCATAACTGCTGTTGATATGGCTGATGCAAGATCTGAGCTTAATTAAATGTACAGATGTCTGGCCCCAGTTCCCACAGTAGAGTTACAGGAACGGCAAGTAAATAGACGCAAGGGTCACATGCATAAACACTCCAGAAAGAACAATTAGCCTTCAGGGGGATTTTTTAAAACTGTAAAATTCACATCTACTGTTCAGTGCATGTCCAATGCACTACAGTACAGAATAGTGGTTTACATCTGCACCCTATATACATCAGGGATTATGAAAAACACTAGCAAAGTGTGCCTGCTCTTTAAATGGAAATAAATAAATAAATACTATCAATGTACAATACTCTGTACAGGGTTCAGGAGTCTGGGGCATGCAATGTGCAGCACAGAATACATAGTGTAGTGGTTTGTGGTTCATGGTATGCAGTTTAAATGGTGGTTAAAGGAGAACTGATCTGTATTATAGAACAGCAGTTTACTTCTCCATGTAGAAGGTGTAGTGGGACCCCCATAGGAGGTTAACAGTTTGTGGGTCCCAAGGTTTTTCCCACTATCTCCCGCAGCCAGGCATACATGCACTTTCTCTAGGTTCAAGAAACCATCTAGGGTTGTTGGTTTTTAATACAGAGTTGAACTTGAATGGGGATTGGGCTTGGGATTGGGAGGATACTCCAATAACTTGCTATATTGAACTTTGAGGACACTGAAACTTGCTTCTTGAAAATCGGAACTCTTGTAACTGTGAAGCAGAGAGCGGACAGGTTCTGCAAGGCAATATTGAGGAGGTTGAGCCTATGGGCAACAATAGTAAACTATTAACATAAAAACACTTGCCTAATACCCTTTCTTCTGGTCTGGATTAGCAACAATTCTTCCATGGGAACATGTGGTCTTAGGTCCTTTCTCTCCCCCTCCACTTTCTTCCCCTGGAGTTTCTAACTCAGATACACAGAGACAGGGAGTGATTTACATAAAAAACTCTGACAATTAACACAGAACATCCATTTATAAATACAGACAGTAGAGGACAGCATGTCCTACATTTGCTTTACGGATGTGGCAATTTTGCACCACAGCTAGATTCTTCACTGGCAGTCAAGGTACAATCTGCAATGTAAAACTGCCATTCAGCAGTTAAAAAAAAAAAAAAGCAGGTGTCAGTTGCTAGTAGTAGCACCTCCCAAATGCCTGCCAGCCACTGCTATATTGCGCTCTGAAAAGCAATACACCGCAGAACGCTATTCAGAGGTTGGTGACTGTTACCACCAGTGTGAAAGAGCACTTAAGGCAAAAAACTGTTTCACAGTTAACACAAGAGGCTGGAACAAATCGTTTAGCAGATATGTTCATATAGGTGTATTTAATAGTTTGCCTGGAGTTTAGTTTTAAGAATTGTGGCAATTATGCTTACAAAATATACCTTTTACACTATTATAGGAAAATCCCTTGAGGAGAAAAAGTTCTTTACCCTGTAATCATCCCATTCGTTGAGGTTGCTCTTATTAAAAAAAAAAACAGTTTTAGATACCCTGCTCTCATTCATAAACTGAAATCTCTTCTGAATATATGATCCAACTATAACTTATCATGGCTTGCTCACATTATGGCAGTAATAATGACATATATCCAATCTTGGAAGGCCCACTGAGAGTCTGCAGTACACGGTATGAGTACCACGTTCACCTTTACCAGTTCGGTTCAATGAGAATCACCCAAATTTCCTTCTATCTTGATTATATATGGCACAACCCACCATCCACTCACCTGCCCTGCGACCAAAAGTGTTGCAGTCAGAGACCCAGATGTTAAACCCTAAGGGGAAGATCTTGACCAAATGAGGCATCATGAGGTTCCCTGCACTAGAGGGCAAAGCCCTGACGTACCACAGCTGGGGTCCTGGAAGGCCCTGTGGTTCCCAAACATGAACTCTGTGGATACAGAGGTAATTGGTGCATGCCCCATCAGACAGCCTTCACCCTCCTGGTGCCCACACTCCTAAAGAGTGTTAAGGGACTGGGTTCCACCAAATGGGTGCATCAGAGAAGTGCACAGCTTGTGCAGTTAAACGTTTAATGATCAAAGAATTAAAATCAACAATTGTTGCATTCACATATTTCATACACTAAAAGTGCCTTAAATGTAGCCCCTTCTTGCTGAAGTTGGAAAACTGGTCACATCATGGCAAGTGATGTCTGATGGTTGTTTAGCATGAAGTTTGAATCTCTAACTACAGGCTGACAAGCTGAAGGGAGGCAGACAACTCGGGTGCACAATGGGCTCAGCTGCACATCAAAGCCTGCTGTTACTGGGCTTACATCCACTATATTGCCAAAGCCTGCTGTTACTGGGCTTACATACACTATATTGCCTTTACACGCACACCCTTTGCAGCTATAACAGCTTCAACTCTTCTGGGAAGGCTGTCCACAAGGTTTAGGAGTGTGTCTATGGGAATGTTTGACCATTCTTCCAGAAGTGCATTTGTAAGGCCAGGCACTGATGATGGACGAGAAGGCCTGGCTCGCAGTCTCCGCTCTAATTCATCCAAAAGGTGTACTATCGGGTTGAGGTCAGGACTCCGTGCAGGCCAGTCAAGTTCCTCCACCCCAAACTAGCTCATCCATGTTTTTATGGACCTTGCTTTGTGCACTGGTGCGCAGTCATGTTGGAACAGGAAGGGGCCATCCCCAAACTGTTCCCACAAAGTTGGGAGCATGAATTTGTCCAAAATGTCTTGGTATGCTGACACCTTAAGAGTTCACTTCTCTGGAACTAAGGGGGCAAGCCCAACCCCTGAAAAAAAAACCCCACGTCATAATCCCCCCTCCACCAAACTTTACACTTGGTACAATGCAGTCAGGCAAGTACTGTTCTCCTGTCAACCGCCAAACACAGACAGACAAGTCCATTGAATTGCCAGACAGGGAAGTGTGATTCGTCAATCCAGAGAACACATCTCCAATGCTCCAGAGTCCAGTGGCGACATGCTTTACACCACTGCATCTGACACTTTGCATTGCACTAGGTGATGTAAGGATTGGATGCAGCTGCTCGGCCATGAAAACCATTCCATGAAGCTCTCTACGCACTGTTGTTGTGCTAATCTGAAGCCCACACAAAGTTTGGAGGTCCTTAGCTATTGACTCAGTTATTGACTCAGCAGAGCCCCCTTTAACCCTAAGGGGAAGATCTTGACCAAATGAGGCATCATGAGGCTTCTGCACACTGTGCGCTTCAGCATGGCTGACCCCGCTCTATCATTTTGCGTATGCTATCACTTCGTGGACAGCCCTCCCAGAAGCGTTGAAGCTGTTCTAGCTGCCAAGGGTAGGCCAACTCAATATTGAACCCTACGGACTAAGACTGGGATGCCATTAACCACTTGCCTACCAGGCACTTATACCCCCTTCCTTACCAGGCCAATTTTCAGCTTTCAGCGCTGCCGCACTTTGATTGACAATTGCGCTGTCATGCAACATTGTACCCATATGAAATTTTGATCATTTTTTTCTCACAAATAGAGCTTTCTTTTGGTGGTATTTAATCGCCACTGGGCGCTTTACTTTTTGCGCTATAAATAAAAAAGAGCAAAAAATTTGAAAAAAAAAAAAAAAATTTATTTGTTTCTTTTATAAAATTTTTCAAACAGGTATTTTTTCTCCATCACTGATGTGCGTTGATGAGGCAGCACTGATGGGCACTGATAGGTGGCACTGATGGGCACTGATAGGCAGCACTAAAGGGCACTGATAGGCAGTACTAATGAGGTGGCACGGATAGGCGGCACTGATAGACAGCACTAATTAGGGGTCACGGATAGGCGGCACTGATATGCAGCACTGATAGTCGGCACTGATAGGTGACACTGATTATGGGTACTGATAGACGGCACTGACTGGCATCACTGCTGGGCACTGACTGGTGGCACTGACTGGCACAACCCCTGGGCACTGACTGGTGGCACTGACTGGCAGCACTGCTGGGCTGCACTGGTGGGTGGCACTGGTGGGCAGCACTGGTGGGTGGGCACAGGTGGGTGGCACTGGTGGGCACAGGTGGGTGGCACTGTGGGCACAGGTGGGGGCACAGGTGGGTGGCACTGCTGGGCACATGTAGGTGGCACTTCTGGGCACAGGTAGGTGGCACTGCAGAGTGGCACAGGTGGGTGCACTGCTGGGCACAGGTGGGGGCACTGCTGGGCACAGGTGGGTGCACTGCTGGGCACGGGTGGGCGGAGCTAGTGGGCGCACTGCTGGGCGGAACTTGCGGGTGTCACTGCTGGGCACCGATCATCAGGGCACTGATCATCAGTGCCCTGATGATCGGTGCCGATCCCCGCTCTGACAACTGCCGGTTCTCGGCAGTACTTTCCTCACGATCTGACAGCGTGAGGAAAGTGCAGCCGAGAACCGGCACTTGCATTTCCCTGTGATCAGCGTGTCATTGGACACCGCTGATCACGTGGTAAAAGGCCGGTATGATCGGCCTTTTACCACATCTCGTGATCAGCTGTGTCCGTAGGACACAGCGATCACGGAGATCGCCGGGTGCGCGCCCCCTGGGGCGCGCAGGAGAGCGCGTTCTGGGGGGACATCATATGACGTCCACCCAGAACTGGCCGGCCGCAGTGCAGCCGTCATTCGGCTATCTGCGGTCGGCAGGTAGTTAAAGTTCATGTGCATGTAAAGGCAGGTGTCCCAATACTTTTGGCAATATAGTGTATATACATATATAAAGACAAACAGACACACACACATGTCTTCTTAAAGTGCTTCATGCTCCAAAAATACCAAGTGACCAGTGCCCTTTAAAGAGCTCGTTGATCTGTGACCCCCTCCCCCTTTTTGGTCACACTCACCAGATCTCGCAACTGGGTCAAACAACACTTTGTCTGGTAGTAGATAATGGTATCTCACTTCTTTCCTTTACTTCAGGTCATGCACTCAACATATCCTACCGGCTTAAGGAAATTGACAGGAGAGAGGAGGCCCCAATAGTGTAATACTGCTTTTATTATAAGAATTAAAAGTAATGCACTTCTTAATCAGAGTATAGAATCAAATCAATTAAACTCTTGGGATATTGATCTGGTCAGTTAAGTAGCAGATGGGGTTGTTAGTCAGTTTCAGCTGCTTTGGTGTTAATGACTATCCCCAAAACAGGAATGGTTTTACAAGTGGAGACCACTGACATTTTTTTCTCTACTCATCTTTTCTGACTGTTTTTCACTAGTTTTGCACTTGGCTAGGGTCCTGGACCCTACAGAGGATGCAAAGGCAGTCGAACGCCTCCGGGACGGCACATCAATACTTGCCATTGTCAAAAAGTTTGCTGTGTCTCCCAGAACAGTCTCAAGAACATGGATTCCAGGGGACAGGCAGTTACTCTAGGAGAGCTGGACAGGGCCGTAGAAGGTCCTTAACCCATCAATAAGACCGGTATCTGCTCCTTTGTGCAAGGAAAAATAGGATGAGCACTGCCAGAGCCCTACAAAATGACCTCCATCAGGCCACTGTTGTTAATGTCTCTGACCAATCAGAAACAGACTTCATGAGGGTGGCCTGAGGGCCCGAAATCCTCTAGTGAGCCCTGTGCTCACTGCCTGGCACCATGGAGCTCAATTGGCATTTGCCATTGAACACCAGAATTGGCAGGTCTGCCACTGGTGCCCTGTACTTTTCACAGATGAGAGCAGGTTCACCCTGAGCACATGTGACAAACATGAAAGGGTCTGGAGAAGCCATGAAGAATGTTTTTCTGCCTGTAACATCATTCAGCATGACCATTTTGGTGGTGGGTCAGTGATAATCTGGGAAGGCAAATCCATGGAGGGATGAACAGACTTCTACAGGCTAGACAATGGCACCCTGACTGCCATTAGGTATCGGGATGAAATCCTTGGACCCATTGTCAGACCCCACGCTGGTGCAGTGGACCCTGGGTTCATCCTGGTGCATGACAATGCCTGGTCTCGTGTGGCAAGAGTATACAGGCAGTACCTGGGGGATAAAGGAATTGATACCATTGAATGGCCGCCACACTCGCCTGACCTTAATCCAATAGAACACCTCTGGAATATCATGTTTCGGTCCATCCGATACTATCAGGTTGCACAGCAGACTGTCCACGAGCTCAGTGGTGTTATGGTGCAGATCTAGGAGGAAATGCCCCAGGACACCATCTGTCCTCTTATTAGGAGCATGCCCCGACATTTTCAGGTATGCATACAAGTACGTGGGGGCCATACAAACTACTGAGTACCATTTTGAGTTGCTGCAACAGAAATTTCAGTAAAATGGACTAGCCTGCTGCATAATTTTTTCACTTTGATTTTCAGGGTGTTTTTGAATTCAGTTCTCTGTAGGTTGATCATTTTCATTTCCATCAAACGATGGGGCATCCTTACATTCCTGACATAGTTCCCAGTCCATATCAGTATAGATATCCAGCATCAAATTTTCCCTATTGAGATCTGATGTGTTTTCAAAGTGACCCCATTCAGAAAAGCCTCATCGACTAGAAGGTAGAATTCTTTGTTGTACTTCTCTAAAGCAGATTTCGATTCAGGACGGTACCACTCGCTGTTATTCAAGATTTTCAGGCACATTTGTTTGTATTGGTCATTACTCATAACGATATTTCCATCTTTATCAGAAGGCTTGATCGTTATATCGATGAGATTGGATAATTCCTTTAATGCTACCTTTTCACTCTCAGTGAGATTGTTTACATAGTCATTGATCTTCAATTTATTAATTTATTTCATTGTTAAGGTTATAAATGCTACTAGATTTGGGTTAGAGCTCAAGGAGGGAAATTTATCAGATTTTCTTCTAAGAATAAAAGGACCCGCTGTCGCATTATCAGGACTCCTTCATTAAGGAGTGCTATGAGATCCTCCAAGGCTTGATCCTGTTGATTAGACGTGAATCTAGATTGATTGATGTCTTTAAAAGAAATGTGCTTTTAAAAATGAGTTCACTTGTCTCTAAATGGGATCTAAAAAAGTCTCAGTGAAGTTACAGGGGATCGGGGACGATGCCATATTTTGTGATTTGGAGGAATAGTTTACTGCCGTGTGGGGCCCGTTCCCCAAAGATCTGCTGGGGCACAGAACATGAGAATCATAGCATACATTTCCCAGTCCACCTACTGATATAATCCCAGGGGAGCTGTTCTCCACGCTATGTGGAGAAGGGCTGTCCAGGGTATGTTTTTTTACTTGATTATCTTGACCGTCATCTGGTACAAAACGTTTAAATTTTCCTGGACCTTGATGTCTGGTATTAATTTGACAGGATGATAAAGAGGAATTTACTGAAGAAAATTACCCTTTTTTGCCTTTATTGTGTGGTAAGGCTCTGTTAAAGCCCCTATTCAATCTGTTCTTCAAGTTCCATCTGAATGCCCGTCCCTCCTGGAAGGCTAATTTGTCCTTCCAGAACTTTTTTTCTTTTGTAATCAAAATGTCCTTCATAAAGTTGTCTAAATGACATTTGATATTTCTCACCTGTTCTAGAAATAAAGGGCATGTTTTAAAGGGTACCAGTTTTGTTGTTGATAAGATCAATATCTTTATCTAATTTAGTTATGCGTTTTCTATATTCACTGATGAGGAAATCATGTTAGGGATATTCATGGTGGCAAGTTTCCTAAAATTACATTTACCATCCTTGACAGAGTCCATCCCGGTGGTAGAGGGGGGTACTGGAACAAAAACTCCTACTCCAAAATGAAACCAGATGGATTGTGTTGCTTAATGCAACCTCCTCCCCAAGACTCAATGACACACTTAGCTTTAAGTCATTTTTGGATGGTTTTGTCTTGGGTGGTTGGGAAAGAATTTGTTTTTGGTAGAATTGTTCCCCTCTTCTCTCTCCTCCCCCTCCCCTGCTTTTTAGACCATTGTCATCTGGCCCTCCTTGTGACATGTTAGACTGTATATAAATTATCTAAGATCCTGGTCTATTACATTTTGTGGTTCTGGGGTCATGTTTGCCAGTATTGTTTCCTATACCAGCAATTATTGTTGCTTTTTGTTTCACTTCCCATTCATACCCATTTTGCTGAGATTTAGTTGCACTGTGTACAATATTTTGGTTCACTTTATATGTTGTCTGTGTTCTCAAAATTTGATGGCACCCTGGTGTGACCTATTGATCATCCTGTTTTATATGTATGGGTTTTTTTTTTTCTCTATACCCGGCGCACCAGGATTAACCGTCTGGCCCTAGATTGATTATTCAGCAATGTGGAGGGATGTTAGGGCCGTCTGGCCCTTCTCTTCCTCTACTTGGGCTTTTTCCTCCTTGTCCTGTCACGAGCTTGCCAGTTGCTGGACCAATGCGCCGGCGGAGCACCTTCGTGTGACGTCTTCCCAACCCATAAAGGGGCGAGGCAGCGCGCAGGCACCCCAAGGGGTTGCCATGACGGCGGACTTGCGCTTGCGCGGTTTGCCCCGATACTGTGCATGTGTGGGCGTCTTGGCGCCATATTTAAATTCCATTCATTGCAATCTATATGAGATCCTCTGAAAGCCACACAACCATGTATGGAGGTGCTCACTTGTTTAAAAATACTGGGGAGTGCAGGTAAACCTTTGCTATTTACTTTCTTTATAGGTTTTTTATTTCCTTATACTATATATTCTTATGGACAAATCCCCAATAGTGGGGATAGGATTTATTTCCCTAGTTACCTGCCAAGTGACATGCAGTCTCCCTAGTTAATTATATGCACTCCTATTGAATCTATATTACTTATACAACACTTATTATAAAGTATCCACAGCTAGTGTCCTGTATATATGTACTGTATAATTGTAGTCTTTCACAGAGGTCCTGTGTTTGTCCTTGTTCTTAGTCTCCTGTTAGGACCTTGCTGGCTCATTTGAAGAGTAGTAGAGAGAGTTCTAGGACACGTTGCCCTATATATATATATATATATATATATATATATATATATATATATATATATATATATATCATACACACACAAGCTTTCCTATGGCTACAGACACCCAGAGTATAGCAGATTAATTTCACATATTTATTGTTACAGTGTTAGTATTGACTACTCCAACTTCTTTCCTCTTTTTGTCTGTTTTCCTTAAAGGGCAGACAAGGTAATGGTATCATACTGTACTTCTTATAGGCTCGCACTGACCTGCATTTTACAGTTCGCTGTCTGTGTCGGGTGATCCCTGTGTCAGGGCTCCGGGTATGACCAGAGGTGTGTGGACTGACACAGGGAAACGCAGGCTTCAGATATGGTATAAACAATATGATTTATTAAGACTAACAATACAAAACGCAGTGCAAAACTAAACATAAACACAGTGCAAACAAACCAAACCACCTACAGATAACAAAATATACAATGCAAGAATCGTCAGGCAGGCCAGGTCAGTAGCAAACGGGC